AAACCCTATCACATTCACAGTCAAACCCTCTCACATTCACAGTCAAACCCTCTCACATTCGCTATCAAACCCTCTCACATTCACAGTCAAACCCTCTCACATTCGCTATCAAACCCTCTCACATTCACAGTCAAACCCTCTCACACGTACTATCAAACCCTCTCGCATTCGCTGTCAAACCCTCTCGCATTCGCTACCAAACCCTCTCGCATTCGCTACCAAACCCTCTCGCATTCGCTACCAAACCCTCTCGCATTCGCTGTCAAACTCTGCGAGAGAGTTTGACTGTGAATGTGAGAGAGTTTGATTGCAACGGAAGTTAACTTAAAATTTCAGTTTCTGATTGGACCCCAGACAGGAGTAGGCGGGTTTTCACGGACAGAAAAATAGCTGAGCGGCAGCGGCTAATTGTGCTATACAGGCTCAGACGGCAGAATTGCATTTATACTTTGACTTTTGTTTTATTTTAATTTTTTAATACAGTCATGTGTTTGTTTCTTCTTTTTCTTCTATTTCAAAATCAGCTTACTATTCTCCATGGTAATGAAGATGATGTTAGACTTTTTTTTCTTAATGCAATGAGTTGTGCTCAGAACATTTTAAGAGAAACTGAAGGTGTAGGAGTGTTTGGAGATGACAGTACAATTATAGATAGATTAATGAATGAGCTTCAAGGATATACACGAACAGTCTCAGTTTTTCTCTCAGTATCCCAGGAATTTGAAGATGGTGCTCCTCAACAAGTTTTAGACATTCTGGAAGGACTTTATGTGTGTCTTCGTTCAGTTTTGAATTCATATGAACATTCAAGATCTGTGCAAATGAGACAAGGGAACCTTATTTTTTCAAGAATGCCACCAACTTTAAGAACTGGTCATTCTGGTCGTCCCAGGTACGACATACAATGTGGTCAAATAACATACTGTTTATCCTTGGGAATGAATTGGGAAAGAATCGCTGCATGCTTTGGAATAAGCAGAAGAACATTGTACAGGCACAGACAGCAACTTCAAATTGGCCCAATAACATACACAGAAATATGTGATGAGTTGTTAGCTGGTACTGTCAGGGAGATTCTTCAAACTACTCCAAATGCAGGAGAACGATATGTAATAGGAAGCCTACGATCACGAAACATTAGAATTCAGCGATGGCGTGTGAGACGTTGCCTACAACTTCTTGACCCAATTGGTCGAGCTTTTCGACGTCGCCACACAATTCGTCGAAGGATCTACAATGTGCAAACTCCAAATCAATTATGGTAAGTGTGTTTTGCATATCATCAAATTACATATTAAAAAGTAGCACAGTTGCTTCAGTAATATTCCACAATTCCTTAGGACTCTAATTAGCATGAAAATACAGAAATTAAATTGACCATTTATTTGGAATCAAAGATTTTTTCTTGCTTAATGGGGTGCACCGATTGCAGTTTTTTTGCCGATCACTAATCTCGGACTGAAAAGCCAATTCCAATTTTGGCTAATGTCTATTTTTTTGTTTGATTTCTTATTTGGTATATCAAAAGTATTGCTTGGCTGACAACAGTGGGGTGACTATTAACTGCGACACTAACATGCAGTTTTGATCCAGACGGGTCAGTCAAACCTGTCAAAAGAGAGCGGAAGAGGGAAGTGCTTGATTTTTAAACCTTTCATGAAATAAGATCTGTGCATAAGATTGGTGTTACATTAAGTATTGGCCAATCACCGATCTCCCAGAATTAATAAAAACAGTGCACCCTTCTTTAATAGTTTTGCCTTTTTTTGTTTTAATTCATACATGAATAAAATGTTTAAGAGTTAAACAAGTCATTAGATGGATGCGATTTAAATTCATCAAACTTGACCAAAAAGAGTTTTAATATTAATTACATTTTTTTTTCTCTAAAGGCACATTGATGGAAACCATAAACTGGTGAGATGGAGAATGGTTTTTCATGGATGCATTGATGGTTTCAGTCGGGCAATTATATACTTGCAATGTCTTGACAACAACCGAGCCTCCAGTGTGCTACAATTATTCCATGCTGGTGTCCAGAGTTTTGGACTACCCCGAAGAATTCGATGTGATCATGGGATGGAGAACACAGATGTTGCTCGGTATATGATTCAGAGAAGGGGATTGAACAGTGGGAGTGTCATTACTGGACGCAGTGTCCACAATCAGCGGATAGAACGCCTGTGGGCTGAGCTGAACAGAGTTGTTGCATACCACTTCAGCAATCTCTTCACCTTCATGGAAAATGAAGGAATACTTGATTCCACAGATGAACTTCATCTGTTTTGTCTCCACTTCATCTACTTGCCAAGAGTTCAAAGAGCAACTGCAGAGTTCCGGAATCAATGGAATAACCATGGCTTATCTACCCAAAGGGGACAAACACCTCTCCAACTGTGGCAGGGAGGAGTTCTTACAAGTGGCTTCTCAGAGGCAATTCGAGACATTTTTTCTGTGAATGACACCATAGAAATGAATGACACAATGGAAATGAATGAAATCCCCTCACTTTCAGAAACACAAAACAACATTGTCGTTCCTGTGAACATGTTTAATGTTAATTCAACACTAATGAACACAATTCACCACAATATTGACCCATTAAGAGAGGACGGCAATCATGGTATTGAACTGTTTTTAGATTTGTTAAATTTCTTGAAAGAACAGTAACATACATTGGTTATGACAAAGTCAAAGAGTTGAAATGTTAGATGTGTGTTACAAAAAGAAAAACATTTCCTTGTGTTATTATTAACGTTGTGTTGTGAAATATATTTAGAACTGCTCCATTATTGGAATTGTATTTGTTAAACGTTCTGGAAACATTGTTACATTGAAATAAAAAATGTTTACAAACATTCTTCACTAACTTTTGTCGAATATTGAAGTTCAAAAACATTCAGTGTGACAACAGTCTAATAGTGTCAGATGTAAATCCCGTAATTGGTCAGAATCCAAAAAACATGCTCAAGAGGTAGTTCACAAATACTGCTTCTGCAAATGAACAAGGAACTCCATCTTTACTAAAACATTCTTAAGACATAGAGGGGGAAAAAAAAATCATTCTCTCCCAAAACCGTGTGTGTTTTCTAATGCAAAATCCATACTTTCTTTGAAGTGATGATATGTTTCCAGCATTGGCAGTTTTAGGCAGTTGATGCAGGTGTTAGCCATAGGTAGTTGCCGACTTGGATGGATGGACTGCTCATGCAAAAATTCAATTGAAGGCTGGGGAGAAAACCCAACTGGAGGAATGACAGTTGCACCTGTTGCAAAGGCAAGTATTTTGCCAAGTTTGGACGGTCCTTCTTGTTCTATCAAACAAGTAAAAAAGTAAAAGAAAATTATATTGCATTTTTTAGTACTTGTACAATAAAGCAAAAGAAAAGTTGTAAACCAACAAAGATATAAAACAGGAAAAAAGTCATTTATGTGTCACACACTACAAAACAGAAGTAAGAATAGATTAAGATAAAAAAAAAATGTTCAAAAATACATTTGGAAAAAAAAATAAAAATAAAATTATATACACAATGTAAAGAATATTTAATAGGGAAGCCAACATACAGCATCAAAACAAAACAATTTAACTAAGACCCATATCAAATAAAAAAAAATGTTGCTTTTAAAAAGTTATATAAAATCTATCCATTTTGAAAATGTGTTACAACTAGTTCCATTATTTAACAAAACAACTCACCTTCGACATCTTGAAGGTAATCTCTCCAAAATGGAATTATGCGTTCCTCTGCTCTTCTTTTGTTGCTTCCCACAGAAGACAGAGATATGTTGAAAAGTTGATCCATTATTTCAGCAGTGAGAGGGGGTGGCTCACAACACATTAAGGGTTTAAAACTTTCTGGGTACGTTGTGATTGCATCCAGTACACCCAGAGTCTTCAGTCCATCCCTAAATCTATAAATACACAAAAGAGGAGTAAGTTGAAGTTAAACCAATTAAAAAATTTGACATTTTAACTGTTAATGATGATAAGAATAGATTGATATTTCTAATTTATATGACTTAGAATTGGACCTTAGCAGTTAAAAAGCAAATAAATAAAGATTTCATGG